AATTCCCTGCATTGAAATGCTCCAATTAGCGACATCGATTCGAACGCTATTGAGATCTGGGATTCGTTATTAAATTGTGTTGTTTAAGATGCAGTTTGAAGAGTTTTAATCAACTAAGATAACAACTTTAAGGTTTATTTGATCTCTTTTAATTGGGTTTTTTAACAAACAATAAAACTGACTTCAATACACAAATGCTACGATACTAACCGTCAACAAAGACAATCTACAGGTGTGCAGTTTCTTTGATTAAAAACGCAATAAGAAAATTACTAATGAAAACAAAATGCCCGTACGCGGTTCATAATTGGAATTGAGGTATTTCACACATTTTAGTGTTCTTATTTCGCCTTAAGAATTAAAAAAAAAACACTTTTATAACACAACTTTTACTTTTCGAGACATAATTTAAAAGATTAAAGATTCTGTTATATTCTTTACAATTTGATGTAATAAAATTTAATTCTCGGAATTATGACGGAGATTAATAATTCCACTCCTTATTCGAAATTTCAAGAAATTAAGACGTCAATTTTTGTAAACATAGACCAGGATTGGCGTTAGACCGACGGTATTCATATTTTTAATTTCCACGCTTGGAGAGCGAGTAATTAATTTTCGTGTCGGTGAAATAAATTGCTTTCCGTGGAAATCGTTGAATAATATGCGGTTTACGCGACCCCTGTTTAATATGGGAGCTAGGTTTACGAGCCGTTTGGTTAACGTATATGTAATTGCCAATTTTCATTGTTGCTTTGTATGTAACTTGGCAATAAATTGATATTTAACTTGCACTAGAAATAATGTGATTGAATTGAATGAAATTAACAAAACTTAGAAGTATTTATTATATTGGTCCATAATTAAACATCGAAATGTATTTAATACTAGCTGTTCCCGTGCGGCTTCATCCGCATGATTTTATGTTTTATTTTATTGTTTACATGTGTCAAATTATCAATTGCAAATGTCAAAATGACATGACATGATGACAACCTTGCTTCCTTGATGTTGGCAGCAACTTATGGTCTCTTTCCCACATTAGGGTTTTTATCCAAAATATTTACCGCCTAAGTTTAATGGCGTTAAAATATATAGCCTAAATCGTGAAGAAAGTGTAGGGTTTTTATTAAAAAAATAATTATTCAAAAAAAATCTTACGTCACAAAGTAGTGTGTGTTTTCTCTTTATTATATTAGTATAGATAGAACCCTTTATCAAAAGCATCCTGCAAAAGCATTTTATGTAATGTAAAAACAACGGAAGTAGTTACAAAGGTCGCTATCGTATTCGAACATTACTGACAATGGTTATTTATAAATACTGGTTGAGACAGACGAGAGGTCACGGCCCCGACCGCGTGGGTGACACGATGCGTCTACTGTCCTAAGGTCAATTCGCTAACTGATGCTCCTAAACATTAACACGTTGAATGCCACTGACAAGCTTGCTATAACTTCAAATTGAGCCACACCATTACAAATCAGAGTCGCATGAAACGTGTTACTTTAACTTAAGTATAACATAATGTAGTATTTAATTATTTAATCTACTTTCGGTAAAATAATCTAACAATCGAAACCATATTATAAGAGAAGTGGTAACTACCATTTTACTGTGTACGAATAAACCATCATAGCACTATGAGAACCAGTCTGAAAAACAAACTAATCGACGACTGAAAGTAATAGAAAGAAAACAGATTAAATGAAGAAGAAACCTTAAACCGTTGCGATAAGGTTTATATTCCTAAAGTGATGTGTTGGAGTGCAATTCCATTAGCAAATAATGGAGGAGTGGGATTAATGATCACGACTGAGCCTGGTGTTACATGATTTATGACTTATCTATACGCACTCCATGGAACTCCACGACATATACCAGATTTATTATAAATTACGCGACATTATGGTACAATCTAGGTACATATTTGTAAAGGTCTGAATTAAAATGTCGAGTCAAAATCCGAAAGTATTTGGCATAGTTTGCAGAAAAAAAACGATAAATGACAGATTCCAAAAAGCGGTATTAGTATAAAATTACCTATTTCTAAATTCACAATCAGAATTGTGACTAGATTAAAACTAAATAACATACAGACGAATTGAGAATCTCCGCCATTTTGGAAGTCGATTAAAATTTAAAGATATACAAAATTAAATTATTAAACCAAATTATAAACCTGAATATAATTTCTAAAAAGACAAGATACACGTAGCAACTTCAAGAAAGACTACTACATAGTCAGAGAAAAAATAATATGAAAAATATTTGCATTGCGGCCCATAGAGACTGGTCTGTAATTAATCACTCGACGCAACGAGAAAACAGTTTTTCCATTTTCATCCGTCAAGTACAAAAGTTGTTATGACTAGAGTGCACGATTCCAGACGGATTGCTCTGTTAGGATGCGTTTCCATTGGACAAGTGAGGCAGAAATGACACTTCAATGAATACACTGAATTGATTATTTTAACAC